CTAAATTTCAAAATCTCATAATTAATAACCCAATTCGATCTTTTATAAAAACAATTGTAACAACTTAAGGATTTATTGATTTTTTCTACTTGAAGAAACTTCAAATACAAATGTTTTCGCATAAACTGATTATGTACTTTTACTAATTTGAAAGGATATCAAAACTCAAATATATCTATTTTTGATAACTCAAAATAATATAGCTGAAGAATTAAATATTTAACTGAATAGCTTCATACAGTAGAATTCTTAAAATTTATACAAAAACACATTTATCATAATTCATGAAAATGTTGTTGCTATATTCTAACAAATGAAACTTTTAATTATATTTGGATATGTACTTCCAGCTTATCAATCATGATTGATATCTTAGATAGTACCAAAAATTTTCTGCTACACCAACTTATCTCACTTTATTTTATTCCTTAATCCACTATTTAAATACTGATAATCTTTGGACTATTATCTCTAGAAATAATTTCTTAACCTTCATAAATCAAACCTTTTTAATAATATTCAAGTTATCACAAACTTACAAAAAAATACACATTTAATATTTTATCAAATACTATCATATATTTTTATAACTGAACTTATAACAATATTTGGTTTCCTAGATATGAACTCATAATTGAAAAAGAAAAATCTTTACATATCTCAGATAAACAAAAAGGAAATATGATAGATCTTCTACCTTTATATTTAATCGACACATTAATTCCTCTTTTTTTTCTAACCAACCTATTTTTACCAATTGGATTGATTTGATCAGACTTTCTATAATACATGGTAGAGATAGATACTCTTCTTGGATCGGTAATAGCTAGTTGTTTTTAATTTTTTCTTTATTTTTCAAACCTTTTTTCTTTTAATAGACGGTCGTGATAAGACTTATGTTTATACATTTATTTTTAAATTCAACAAGACAAACGGTTGGTTTGGAGGAACCTGGTCTTTTATAAATTTTAAAATGTCTCTAAACAATAATTTTGTTTATGCTGAATCATATAGATAATATTTTAGTTTTTCTACTTTGTATTATTTGATTTCTTAAATTTAAATTTAATAAAATTATATTATCACGTCTAAAAAAAAAAAAAACTGATCTGATTTTGACAAATTTTAGAATCACTGTACTAAAAAGAATCAGAATCCAGCATTGGTTTTTGAGTAACTGACCTACTGAAAAATTTTTCTACACTCAAATTTTATTAAGTAAGAAATTTTAATGTAGATCACTAAATTACGCAAAATTAGTCTTAATAAGCACACTTCAAATTTTTACTAAAAATTTGTTTAGGTTTTAAGGTTCAAAATAAATGCAAAATCATATTTTCTAGCTTTCATGCATGGTAAGTTACAGGCATTTAAAAGCAAGCAATACCACTTGCGTATCTTTTGAAAGTTACTGTATATCTCAAAGATATGTAAATAGATACAAAAATCACCATAAATCCTCCTAATGAACAAAATATTAATTAGTCTTTTGTTATCCCAAATTTTATTAAATAAAATAATTGAATATAACAAATTTTTATACTATTATATATAACGAATTGAAAATCCTATTTCAAGTATAATAAATGAAACTTTTTTAACTAAGTTTTTTATATGAATTTTTATATTAAATTTAAGGAATATAGCAAATTTTTTTTCTTATATTACTATTAATGGAAATGTTATATTATAAATTTTAATAAAGTATAAATTAATAATTGAAATATATATAAGAATATAATAAAATATATAAAGAAATTAAGCCAAATTTTCAGCTATAATTTTATTGAAATAGTAAAGTAAATTATAATTATTTAATAAATTTTTATAGGGATTAATTAATGTTAAACCTTAGATTAATTAGTGTTAAATCTAGAATTTATCAGTTTTGAATTAGTGGTGATTAATTTGTTAATTTAATTTTATTTAATTTCTATAATTCAAATTTAAAATTGCTAAAAATATTAATTACAAAACTGCGAAAACTGCTAATTTTAAAATTGCAAAAATTTTAATTATGAAAAATGTATACAGTTAGACATGCAATTGTGTAATATGCATGATATGTGATGTTTGTTATTTTTATTATTGTTTATTTAAGATATTTTGAATAAAAAAGAATGCAATTGTCAAAATAAATGAAAAAACTATATAATAAAGCAGAATTCATAAGGTAAGAATTAGGGGCATAATGGTAAAATATAGTATTTTTTACATAATTTTCATGAAATTAAAAACATTTTTATCTTTAATAAAACTTACTCAATTTTTATTCATTTGTTATATTTAAATATTCATTAAAAAATTTTGGATGATATATTATATTAATATTTTAAAATTAATAATTGATTTATTAAATAATATTGCTTTATTTTTCTTAAGATATTTATTATTAAAATCTGATTGAATATGATATTTAGTATCAACCTATAACAAATAATTTACTAAAATTCAGTAAGAGATTATCAAATTTTCTCATAATAATGAATTGTAATTTTCAAAATAAAGATTTATTATAGAGATTCAACTATACTACTGAAGAAAATAATATTTCAAATAGTAATAGTAATAGAAATATATCGAATGATAGAATTAGGTGATAATGAAGATTTGAAAATTTGTATCACCCAATTATAAGTAGTTTTAGGACCTATCAAATCTAGAATCAACGATTGATAACTGATTTTTATGGATTTTATTTTAGATTATAACATTTTAGATAAGATTTAATAACAGTAAAGATGATTTTAGAAACTTTTCAGATTTAATATACTTAATAAGAAAAGAACTTTGAATTAAAAAATCATTTTCATGATTTCATTTTTTGTCCAAAATATCATAAGCTGTATCAAAAATAGTAAGTGATAAATTTTAGATAAGAAGATTTACTTGCTATAATAATAAGTTAATATGTAGAATTTTCTAATTTATCACTTAATAAATTATGATTTTACAATATAACTATATTGTTATTTTCTGATATTAATGATCAAAAATTAGTATTAATATAAGATTAATAAGAAATTTAGCTTTAGGATTTATCAAATAAAAGTTTATAGAAAGCTCTAAAGGTTAATATAGTTAAAAAATATAATTTGAACTTAATATAATTATAGGTTAAATAATTAGGATTTTATTAAAAAAGAATTTGTTACAAATGTATTTGTTTTTAATACAAGTATATTTAGTAATTATCTTATTATTAATAAACTAAAGTAAATTCTTATCATTATCAAAATTCTACAACTACCTTATTTATAAGAAATTCTATAATATAAATAAATAAAATAAAGAAATATAAGTTATATAATTGATTACTAATAAAAAAGAAAGTTCTAGTATCTCTTAGATTTTTACGTAATCTTTACTTATAGCATATTTTACTATTTCTTGTATATTCAGTACATATGGCATATTTAATATATTATGCAGATTCAGTATATTTCATAAATCTGTTAGAATCAGCAGATTTAACAGATATTATAGTATAATAAAATTAAGTAATCTATTCTGCCAGGTGATTTGCTATTATTTCTTTTATTATAATATTTTAAAAAATTAGTATTTCAGCAAATCGAGTAGTAATTTAATCTAATTTAATCTTTCTATTTTTTAAAATCAAATAATAACTTATTTTGATATATTCGGTCTTATTTTAAAAGTTATTTGAGATAATAGGCAAATCATCAGCATTATAATAATATTAGAACTGATATATATGATGATCAAATATGATAGATATTGAAAGAATCTTTTAAAGACAATCCACAAAATTTTTTTAGAAGATGAAGTAGCTGATTCTTACCTTAGATTAATATTGAATCTAAATTAGTTCCAGTCCTATAAAAATACTATATATAATATTGGTACTATATTCTTAATACATATAAGCAAAATAATGTTAAAATATATGATAAAATATTTTAATTAAACAATATTTTAATGATAAGTTAATAATTATAAATTGTCTTAAATTTACTAAAATCAAATTTAATATTTACTAGAAAAAAAGGAGATCTTAAAGATCTTAAATTATAAATTATAAAATTTTAGAATTACTTTTTTTTAACAAATTTCTATATATTAATTTCAATAAATACTATTAAATTATGATGATAAAAATTATTAAAATAAAATTTTAAATGATTTATAATTAATTATAATTAGTTAGATAATTAAAAGTTTTTTTTTTTAATAATATTAAACTTAAATGTATACAGTATGTTATTTACTATTAAAATTAAGTTCTAAAATATAATAAATCATTTGATCTAAACATGAATTTAAAAGCAAATCTTCTATATCTTTAAATTTAAATTAATAATTGATATTTAAAAATAAATTGATTTTTTAGTAATTTTGTTTTTTTTTTGTAAGATTTGTTATATAAAATTAGATTAAAACTAATAATTAAATAATTTTATTTTATTTGTTTAAATATTTTATTAAAAACATATTTATATATTTGATATATGTATATATTTTTTTTTAATATTTTAATTAAAATAAAATTGCTTATTAATTTATTGAAAATTTTAATAAATCCTAATCTAAATTAAAAAGAAAATAAGTTATATATTAACGTTAAGTTATTTAATATATTAAAAAATTTATTTTTTTAGATTTTTTTTTCCAGATATTTGTTTTTATAAAATATTAAGACAATCAATATTTTATTTGAAATATTTGTTTAGAATTTTATTAGACATTGTTTTATAGAAATATTTATCCATGCAAGTAGTATTGTATGTGTCGCAGCATATATTATACAAAGTACATTGTTATGCTGCTTGCAACGTTTGTGTTATGATATTACAACTGTGTAAAATATTTAATGCTTAATACTTTATATAAAATTTCTAAATTTGTCACTCACTGTCAAACGCTCCTGCCTTTTCATTATTAAAAAAGTGAATACATAATAAGATTACTTACAAATAAATCCTGATTGAAAATTTTTTTATTCTAAAATTATATTATATTATACAAAAATCTAATGTTCAAAGTTCTCTTTTATGTTCTCTTTCGATTATCCTATGATATCTTAACATATAACTGGCAAATGTACTTCTACCCATAGTATAAAGTCTCCTCCCGTTCGAGCCAGTCATTAAATCCACAAAAGGAACAATGTATTTATACATCTTCTGTTTGTCAACACTATTAATTATTTGATGTAAAGGTTCTAGTTCTTCCTTAAAGTCTGACATCATGTAAACGCAAGGAAAGGTTTCAAATACTACTTGTAAAGGTTCGGCAGTTTTGTCTATATCACTGGCTAGGTAAATACGTGTAAATCGGGAAAAGGTCGTTTTATCTTCAGGTAAAGTAAGATTTTTGAAACATAAATCGTGTTTTTCCGATTCAGATATATTTCTATATTGATTCATGTCTACCGAATCAAATTCAGGCATATCACGCTTAATATTACTTATTACCTTTGCTATACGTTCATGTGCCAAAAGCTTATATTCCCCATCCCCAGCCCTTCCATGAAATGTAATATAATTAAAAGTTCCTCCCATATTATCAGTAAATCTTTTTACGACGTTTCTCAAGATTTCATTTTTCGGAATAATTGAGAATTGTGTATCGTAATAAAATCTTTGACTCGTGATTGATTGTCTTATGACGGTACCGGGACCGAATAAACTTCCAAAAACCACAAGTTTTTGAGGTTGTTTCTTAAATTCATCCAAGACATAAAACTTTTTGATTCTTCCATCTGCGATTGGAGCAACTTTTTCTGGAGGAATTGAGTATTCAAAAAAGTTGTGATTTCCCGGGTACAATTTATCATAAATAACATCATCCACTTCATCGATTTTCAATTGATCCTTAATGATGTGGGTTAAATTTACATTATGATTATAAATTACCCTAACATTCTTCTCAATGTATGACATATCAAATAAATCTTTCCATGTTGTTAACATATATGATTGATGAAATTCTATACATTTTTCTGGGTTATCTATTTTTTTACATTCTTCTTCCAGATTTGATTTATCCGATTTTAGTGAAGTTATAATTTCCAATAACTTATCATAATCTCTCCAACCGATACGCTTTCCCAAGATAATAGGAGGTAAGATTAATGTGCGATTCAAATACCACGCCAAGTAAACGGCATTCTCTAAAGCGATCCTTTGATTATGAAAACCGGAATGAGGAATATATGTCATGTATCTTTCATCATCTTTAGGCGAAGGAATAATTATTTCTGAATTCTCAACATTAGTATCATTGGTCATAACACAAACTCCGTTGTCACAGGGTAAATTATCGACATCCATGAATATCGATGATAGCTCATCCGAGAAGACGTATATCGCGAACAATGTAATTAGAATTAAGAAGTAAACATAAATCCTTATTTTTGATAAAAACGACGAAGAATTAGTTTGCCTTTGTGGAGGTGTTGTCGTCGGTAGAATATTATTATTATCTGTAGGTATTTTAACATATTTGGTAGCCATTTCGAATTTAATTTTTTTTTTTTATACTTTAAATTAAATTAAATTATTATTTTTTTTTTAAAAAAAATAGGAGTTTTTATTTTCGTTAAAATGAAAATGTAAAAGAACTAGAGAGACTTTGTCTACCTAATATACTTAAATAAGCATTTTTTTTATAGGGTTGTTTTTTTTATAGATTCAAAAGAGTTACGAATTAATTGTTTTGGGTGACAAAGTTGTTTAACATTGTTTTTGTGCTTACACACGAAAATCCCTAATTAGGAAAAAAAATAACAATCGGTCCGAACTAATCTTTTTTTAACACTTTCAATCATCCCCTATATTTACGAAACAATCTTGCAGGGCTGATCGATAAGATAGCTCTAATTTCATTGGCTATGAAATGGAAGAAAATCCAGTTTGTTTTTTTTGGCATTCAATCAATGACTAAAAAAAAAACAATTGAAAATCGATAAAAGCGCCTTTTTGACATTTATTTTTTTTTTTTTATTTTTTTCTTTTATCAAAAAAAATAATTATTATATAATCATTATGATTAACATAAACCCCCTTTGCCCTGTTATGCAAATATGCTTTATCAGCCTTACAAATAAAGATGCTGGTCAAATTTCATGTGATTAACCGTAAATTCACGTGATTCGCAATTTTTTAACATAGATTGCGTTCTAGCCACGATATTCCAATTTTTCGATCGGTGATTTCTGATGAAGAAATGATCACATAATATTTATAATACAGGTTACTAACATCAAACATTTAGCCATCTTTCTTCTACCTCTCTCTCCTCACCTAAAATGCCGTTGAAACGAAAGATTCGAACAACCTTAAATCCTGACAATTTAATTAAAAAACAAAAACATGATTCAAATCAATCAATCGACATTCCCATTAAGAATTGCTTGATGTGGTTTAGAACGGATTTAAGAATTCAAGATAATATAGCACTTCATAAAGCTTCAACCATGATTTTTACGAAATCTGAAAAAAGTAAATATGTATTCGCTATATACCTGATTTCCCCAGAAGAATGGAGGTCACATGATGTAGCTCCAACCAAAGTGGATTTTTTGTTGCGAAATCTAAAAGAATTAAAGGAATCATTAAATGAGTTAAATATTCCGCTGATTATAGAAAGTGTTGATAATGCTAGCGATGTTCCCGGTGTTGTGATCGATTGGTGTAAAAGATTGAGAATTAGTCATCTATTCGCCAATATAGAATATGAGGTGAGAAATCAAATTGGCTAACTCATATTACAGGAAATTTACTAAAGAAGTAATTTGTCTTTAAAGGTGGATGAAATGAAGAGAGATAAGCAAATATTTAATTTGGCAACGTTTAACTCAATCAAACTCGAAATGTTGCATTCTCAATGTATTGTGAACCCGGGGTTGTTAAAAACGAAGGTACATCATACATTTAGTGTGAATTTAAAAAAAAAATTTTTTTTTTTTCATAAAAAATTATTTCTTAGGAAGAAAAACCATATAGAGTGTATACGCCATTCAAGAATTCTTGGTTTCGTTATGTTGAATCGGATCTTTCGATTCTTGAACCATTACCAGATCTATTTCCAAATTCGAAATCTATACGTATTTCATATCTGGAAACCTTTTCTTTTAAAGTTCCTTCCTCAATTCCAGGATTCGAAATCTCTTCAGAATTAGCAAAGATTTCTCGACTCAATTTTCCAGCAGGAGAACAATACTGTCATTCTTTATTATCGCAATTTATCTTGCAAAAGGCCTCAAAATATTCGAATGCAAGAGATATTCTCTCACAAAATGGCACGTCATCATTATCACCTTATTTGGCTTCAGGAATTATATCAGCAAGGCAATGTGTTTATAAGGCTTTTAAAGCAAATAATAATAAAATATCAACTGGTAATAGTGGAATCGTTAAATGGATCGAAGAAATTATTTGGAGAGAATTTTACAGACAAATTCTAGCCGCCTTCCCACATGTATGCAAAAATATGCCATTCAAAAAGCATTTCAAAAATATTGAATGGAACAATGAAGAAGAAAACTTTATGAGATGGTGTCAGGGTAAAACTGGTTATCCTATTGTTGACGCTGGCATGAGACAACTTAATGGAATGGGTTGGATGCATAATAGAGCTAGGATGATCGTTGCCATGTTTTTGGTCAAAGGTATAATTTATAAAATGATTACTTTTTTTTAAAAAAAAAATAAAAATAAAAAAATTTTTTTTTTGTGATAATGAAATAGATTTATTAATTGATTGGAGAAAAGGAGAAAGATATTTTATGAATCATTTGATTGATGGAGATTTTGCAAACAATAATGGTGGATGGCAATGGGTAAAAGCTTGTTTTTTTTATGATTCAACATTTAATAATTAGATTTTTTATTAATTTCAAATGTTATAAAAATCATTAAAAAATAGTGTGCTTCAACTGGATCGGATGCGCAGGTATGATTGATACAAATTATTCAAACCAACTTTAATCTTTCTTGAAAAAATAATGTATGACCGAATTAAAAAAAAAAAATTACACAGCCATATTTTAGGATTTTCAATCCAACTACTCAAAGTTCGAAGGTGAATTATTTTTCTTGCTTTTTCCATTTAATATATTTAATATTTAATTGAATTAAAAAAAAAAAAATTCTGTTAAAGTTTGATCCAACCGGAGAATATATTCGTAAATGGGTTCCAGAATTAAAACATCTTGATTCTAAACAAATACACAATCCTTTTGGGGTTTTGAAAGGATCGGAGTTCAAAAAGTTAGGGTATGTACAGTATATGGTATACTTTAAAAAATAAAATAAAGGTCCTAAGATTTTTTCAATATTTTTTTCTTATCTTTAGATATCCAGAACCAATAGTTGATCATCAAAAAGCAAGGATCGTTGCATTAGAAAAATTTAAAAATGTCAAATAATAAATAAATACGCATTATTATGGCGCAGTGAATAAACAAACTTACCAAGTTGGGATGAGTGCGTAATTATTTAATCCATTTCAAGATAAATCCAGGGAATTTTTCTTTTCTTATTTAGCCTCACTTCTTTTCAAAGTCAAAATGTCTTCTCATCTTCCACCCGAGACTCTACAAAATATTTTTGACAAACTCGTATCGGAATGTCGTTCCACATTATTCCGATGCCTTTTGGTTAATAAATATTGGTGCTCAAACGCCGTCTTGATTATCTGGAAGGATCCTTTTAATTATGAATACTCGAGTAATAAATTTTTGAAGTTTTGCGTACGACTTTTACCGCTTAATGCAAGGGAACGCTTGGTTAATTCCAATGCACTACCATCTTTATTTTTAAAAGATGTAAACGTACCATACTTTGATTACTTTTCATTCATTAAACACGTAAATCTACCTGAATTATGGTTATCCATTGAGGAATGGTTCATTCATAATAATCAATATTTTTCCATGGATTATGGCCTTCAAGTGGAAAAGCAGTTGAAAGTATACAAGGAGTTACTCAAACACGTTGTTGATCGTTCTGAAAGTTTAATATATAATATAAATTTGGAAGATTGTAATTACACGAGCTTTTCTGTTCCATTTCTATTCGATTTATCAGAAGTCATTCCAAAAGGATCTCATCTTGAAGTTTTGCAATGTTTTACTTGGTGGCCAGGAGAGATTTTTGAGGATTTTATCAAGATATTTTCACAGGTTGACATGTTAATCCTTCATTGTAAAGAGGATAACGAAATGTTGGCCAATTTTTTAAATGTATCTAAAGGGCTCAAGGCTTTAAGGATTAATTCGACCATCGCATCTATTCCTTTAATTTCGAACGCTTTGAATCTTAAGGCGAGATCTTTAGAATATTTGGAGGTAAATGCAGGTGGTTCGATCTCGTTAGAAATATTCTCGGAATGTGATAACCTGGAATGTTTGATCGTTACAAAAGATGATGATTATTTTCTTCAAAATATTTTTGATGAGATTAAGGTCGAAGACTTCAACGATAACGATGATTATTTTGATGATGATGATGATGATGATGAGGGGGAAACGATCCTTTCCTACAATCATAATAAAGCGTATGACTTTGGGAAACTTTCATCATCCGCGTCTTTCAAGAATATGAGAAAGTTATCACTTAAAGATTATAGAAAGATCAATTTTAAAGATACGGCGAAGATCATTAGCACCACAAATTTTCATTTAACCAGCCTCTGTTTATTATGGGAGGAAGAATCTGATCCGGAAAACTTTTCATTACTGGTATCAACAATTATAGTGCATTGTCCTAAGCTAAAGAATCTTGAAATTATATTTAATGAGAATTCAGCATCGAAGATACTTTCATTATTATGTTCATGTGATAAGTTGAAGAATTTATATTTGAGAAACACCAAAGATTGGAATATCGACATGTGGATGCAAAATCTTGGACAAGTTATTCCAAAAACTTTAAAATCGTTAAAATTACAAAATTCTTTTACGTTCACGTTAAAATCTCTGAAAAAATTTTTATTTGAATGTGAAAGAAATTCGATAAATGGTCTACGATTTAATATTCAGGATGGAGGTTATTGGATTGAAGAAGAACATATCAATATTTTGAATGATTCCGTTGAGAAAGGTATTTTGGATGCTTCAAGTCAAACAAGTTGGATGGATCCAAGGGAATTCATGCAGCAGGTGTTGCTCGTTTTGGATGAGTAAGTTGCTTGAATTTCAATGAATTTTCGAAAGGAATTTTTTATTGATTTACCTGACCAAATTCTTATGATATTCACGCTTCAGACTTCGGAATGACATATCGATCACCGATCTTTTCTAGAAATGTTGATCGAAACCCATCTCTTTCTAAAAAAAAAAAAAAAAAAATTATCTTAGTAACTTTGTAATATTCCACGCGTTTTCGTAAATAATAAATATTAGAAATTGGAGGAGGAACATAGTCTGACGCTTAGACGATGATCATTTGTTGTAGTTTAAAGTTTGAACCAAAGATCAAATGAATTTATATATTACGATAAGAAGAATTATAAAATAAATACAAATGATTGTGATTTAGGCCGGCACTAAAAATTTGACATAAGACGATGTGACGCAGAAAAAATTTTCAAGTTTAACTTCGTTAGGAATTTGACTTGGTATTTAAAATTCACCATTCAAGTAATAAAATAATGACATTTTTTGTATAAATTATAAAGATTCGTATTAAATAGCGTGATAATGGAGTATAGGCACAAATAAGACGAAATAAAGTTAAAATCGAAGCTTATTTAATTATAATTACGCCTTTTATATTTAGAAAATATAATTATTTTATATAAAAAAAGATATTATTAAAACCTTGAATTACAGTCGATATTGATTACTTACGAAATCAATTTTAGCAAATATTTTCAGAAATTCAAAAAGAAATCTTTTACTCAGTGCTGCTCATAACCTGTTTTATGAATGATGGTCATCCAATTCGATCCAATTTCATTTAGAAAAAGATCCGAATTCGAATACAGCCGTTCTTTATAGAAAAAGGTCACATCAATTAGAACGTTTCTCAAACTTTGAACCGCGGATCATCCGATCGGATACCCCGATTCTCTGCGTATCTATTTAAGGAAATCATAAGTAATGCTATGCTGGGCTGGAAATTTAAGCCAGCTGAATATTCGCGCATTTAAATATTATTGATATAAAAGATTGAAGTATGTAATTGGTTTCACAGTATTTGTGATACAAATTTAAGGAAAAGAATAATATTTTGGTAACTTTCACAATTTGCCACTTCTTTATTCTGCCCAGTTTGGTTAGTATAAAAAACGGATACTTTTTTTTTTTGACCAAATTTTTTAGATTTTTTTTTTTTTTTTTGGGTAAAAAGGCGAATGTTCTAGGAAACATTTTAATAGAAATCCAAAATTGTATTTCTTGGGAAAAAAAAACAATAATATTATTTTAGCTAGGTTGTTTTAATTCCTTTTGATACTACAAAAGAATTATATATCATAAATAAAAAGGGATTTTCATAAACAATGTAAATAAAGGAAACGTTTCAAGAATTTTTTTTTGTGCGTTTAATGTGTGATACGACAAAAAAAAAAAAAAAAAAAAAATCACACGATAATGTTAAAAAAAGAGTTGTGCAACTTTTATTTAAAAAAATTGTTTTTAGCATTCAACATTTTCCATTCATTTTTTTATTTTTATTTTTTTATTTTTTCTTTTCTATCCGTTCAAATGAGCGAAGACATCATCATGACAGCCGACTTGACGAAAGGTTTATTGAGGGATCTTAATAAACTTCATGAATTTGATGAGGATTGTAATGTCATCCTCAAAATTGGTAGAGGGTTCGACATAAATAGTTTTAATGCACATACGGTAATATTAAAGGCCAGGTCACAATATTTTAAAAATGCCTTAAAGGATCTTAAAAGAAACAGCAAATTATTTAGGAAAGAAAATTTTCTCACTTTGGAAGTACCTCATATCTCTGCTGATGCTTTTAAAATTATTTTAAGGTTAGCGTTTTTTTAAAGGAAAAATTTTTTTTTTTTTTTTTTTTGTGCGAACTGTGCCATATTTAATAACCCAATGATATGTCACAAATTTATATTAATGTTTTTTAGATATATTTACACGGGAACCATTTCCTTGAATGATATCGCGAATCAAGAATGCGTACTATTCATGCTTGACTTGATAATTGCGGCCGATGAATTAGAACTTAACGATTTAGTGGATTACTTACAAGATTATATTATCGAAAATCTTTCAGATTGGGTTAAAAATAATTTAATTAAAATTTATCAAGCATCATATGGTAGAGAGGCAATTCAACAATTACGTAATCATTGCGTTCGCTTAATTGAGGATGATCCTCGATTAGTGTTTAAATCAGACCAATTTTATTTATTAAAAGAATCGAATCTAATTGATTTATTGAAACGGAATGAATTAGGTTTGCAAGAAATTGAAATTTGGAAGTATTTGATAAAATGGGGGGTTCAACAGGATCCTCCTATCGTGGATTTAGATATTAAAAATTGGGATCTTAAGGTTTTTACGAAATTACGAGATAGATTAAGTAATTTAATTCAGTACATTCGATTCTTTACCATATCCGCTGCTAATTACTTTGAAGAAATTCGTCCTTATGGAATGGTATTACCAGATCAATTGAAAGAAGATATAGAAAGGTATTATATCATACCAAATAGTTTACCACCCTCACATGCGCTACCACCAAGAATTTTGCCTAAGCGTTCAAAGGTTATGGTAAACCTACCACCACCTGTTTCGAAACCAAAGGAACTTAAGTCTGATGATAGTAATGATGGTGATGATAAAGCTAAAGTGCCTAAAAAAATACCTATTCCCGAGGACGCCATGTCCATTTCTTCGTCCCAGACGGATGAACAGATGATTCCTTTACGTATCTCTACGACAATTCATGCTAGAAACGATTCACAGTCCTCCCGAGATAGTTTATTATCACCAAGTCCAGACATAGATTTCGATTCTGTATTAATTAACAAACATCAAATTAAACGTATATCACGTTGGATTGATGGAACTTATAATTTAGGAATTCACGGTGACATAAATAATATAAATAGGTTTATTTTATTGACAAGAGGAAATAGGGATGGCATGTCAGGAGACGATTTTCACTCGCGATGCGATAATAAAGGACCAACCATAGTGTTGGCAAAAGTTGACAAGACCAATGTTATCGTTGGAGGATATAATCCCAATTCATGGAGTAGTTCCAACGAGTGGATTGATACGAATCAATGTTTTATATTTTCATTCAAATCTGACGGGTGCAGAGAAGGGATTGATGATATTATTCTGAGTAGGATAAAAAATCCAAGCGTAGCGATTTTTGACGGGGATAGTAATTACGATATTGGATTTAGTGATCTACAATTATTTTCCGGGAAATACGAACATATAAATTATGAAAAGAAACTTATGATTGAGAAAAATTTTACAATTATAAATTACGAAGTTTTTCAGGTGATAATGAACTAAAATATTAATATATATATTTTATACTATATGTATCATAAATTAAATAAATTAGCTTTATTTGTCACATAATTTTGTCATTATCTGCCCTGGAATTCGAATTCCGGATTTACATACATATTTACCGCAATTCGACCATCCATTTTACTTTCAATTTTTTTTTTTTGTTATATTTCTATTTATATATTTTTTTTTAAAAAAAAAAAAAATTTTTATCCGTGATACGAATTTTGGGTACAAAAGTGGGAAGATTTTTTTCTCGTCAAGGTCGTTTATTTTCTCATCATTTGTTTTTTTTATATTTATTATTCATTTTTTATATTATTTATTTTTTTTTTTTAAAAAAAAAAAACCATCATTCATTCATTCCATACAATTCAATAAAATTTATCAAGCATAAAATGACTGAAGCGGATCTAACATCGTTCTTATTAAAAGATATTGAATCTCTTTATGGGAACAATGAAGATTGTAATGTAACGATTAAAGTTAAGCAAGATAGTTTTAAAGCACATTCAGTAATTTTAAAAGCCAGGTCAGAATATTTTCGAAAATCTATTAACGAATGTTTGCAAAAGCGAATTAGCTTATTTAACAGAGGAGGTGATATTATCAATTTGGAAATCACAAATATGTCTCCAAGAGCTTTCAGAATATGTCTAAAGTGAGTCATTTCATCACTATGTGTGCAAGATTTGAGAAATCATCATTCTAACTACCTTTTTATTTTCGTTGCGGTAATATTAGGTACATGTATACGGGAAAGTTTTCCTTGGATGATTATGATAATGAATTCATTTTTAATTTAGCCATCGCAGCTGATGCGTTAAGCCTTCTCAATATGGTAAATTACCTTCAAACGTTTCTTATTGAAGAACAACTCAATTGGATTAAACAAAATTTGGTTTATGTGCATCAAACTTGTTTAATTCATGACAATTTTGCAGAGTTACAAGTTAGTTGTTGGGACCTTATCAATCAAGATCCTGCATTATTATTTCAATCAAAACATTTTCATAGATTAGATAAGGACATTTTATTAGATTTAATTAAACGTGACGATATCAGCTTACCAGAGGTCGAAATATGGCATAGTATAGTCAATTGGGGGATGGAACAATTACCTAGCATAATAGAACAAGATAAAAGTAAATGGAAAGAATCAGATTTTAATACATTAAAAGATCGCTTAAAGGATTTTATTCCGCATATTAGATTTTTCACCATACCTTCGGATGAATATTATAATAGAGTTCGTCCATTAAAAAAGTTATTATTACAATCGACAGTTGATCAGTTAGAAGAGTTTTATTTGGTGAGAAATCTTGCTCCACCAATTAACGAAAAACCTCGTAAGTGGAGAAGGAATCCTGCACCTTTGAGAAGATATGCTTCAATTTTTAAACCAAAATTTCATCAAAATCATAGGGATAAGGGAGAACCAGCTTCCGAATTTAAACCTGAAGCAGTTGACGAAGTTTCCACAAAACCGTTAGTTCCAAATAAATCCCCTCCACCATTACCAGTATTTCGTCTTCCCGATTTTAAATTTAATTCCAAATTAATCGATAATACGCAAATCAAACGTATATTAAGTTGGATTGACGGAGAATATCAAGCAGGTATTGAAAATTTAAATCCAAATAATAATTTCACCTTATTGGCAAGAGGAAGTAGAGATGGCATTAATCCAGAAGCCTTTACCTCACGATGTAAAGATAAAGGACCAACGTTAGTCTTGGTTTTGGCAATGGTTGATAAAACAAATATTATTATTGGAGGGTATAATCCTGTACCATGGAAAAGTACAAATGAATGGATTGAAACAAATGAAAGTTTTATATTTTCATTTAAATCTTATCAAAGTAGGGAAGGGATCGATGATATCATTTATAGTGAGATTAAAGATTCGAATGCCGCTATTTTTGATGGTGATGGTTATTATGGTATCGGATTTGGTTCCGATTTACATATATTTAGTGGAAAATATGTACATAAACATTATAAAAAAAGAATTATAAATGAGGGAGATTTCGCTATATTAGATTATGAAGCTTTCCAATTTAAAAAAAAAAATATTCAAGTAAATAATGTTTTCGTTGCATAATCACGTGTCATGTGATCTATGGTCACATAATTGCCACAATCATCGGAAATTCGATGAAATTTTTTTTTATAGCATTTCGCTGAAATCTTTAATTATTTGATGTACTTGTTTAAAGGCGTCGACTATATTATAAATGTAACTTCTTAAATTGATTTTAATTGGCAATTACATGTCAATTCATTAGTATATTTTTTTTAAAAAAAATTTATTGATTAAACATTTAAAAGAAAAAATATTAATTAATCAAAATATGTTATATAAGCAATAATAAAGTAAAAAAAAACGTGTTAGATCTAAAAAGTGATTTTGTGGGATTTGGAATGAATAAAAAATATATATATATATATATATATATATATATTTTATTATAGTGATTATAGCTGAATAAACACCTAATGTGGCCAGGGAGGAGGTAAACCTAATCCCAATTTAAAGCCTAGTATAGTTTATTCATAGGTCTTCGCATAGGTTGGCACTAAGAAGCAACCGGCTAAGATACTACCCGGATCTTGCCGCATCTACAACCTTATGTTGTTTCTACTTCCCCGCCAATCAAATTATTACGATCTGGCTCTATATTTGCTACTGTAATACCAGATAAACCCTTATGGCAGAGTTGGGAATTTTGTGTATACTAGATAAAATTACCACTGTACTTGTACTGTACTTGTACTAATTTTTATATTAATTATTATAATGTACTAACTGTACTAACTGTACTAATCATTGTACTAATATTGTACTTCCGAACCCTGCTTATGGTTGCAAGCTTTTTTTCACTTAGATTTGACATCCTGTGTGCCCTTTTGAGGGGGCTTTTTGCACAGGTATCTAAGGGTCTAGGTACTACCAGAGATGGATAGAGGGATCACTTTAAGTCATATAGGAGTGTCACTTCTATATCTTTATCTAACTAATGCTGCAGGGTTCATGGGATTGCGTGACTACGAGATTTGCCTAAACGGTAAACTAGCAAGATGATTAAGTACCTATATTGTGAAAAGAACCCAGGAATCAAACTAAGCCTCTAACCCTAGTGATAGTTTGATTAGACAGTGCTGCGGTGTGTAATGCAATCTATTATCACTGTTGATCTAATCTACTAAATTTTAGTCAATCACTTCCTTAATTTATATACAATCTTATGATCATATACAGAAATAAGGGTCCCTGCTGTGTGAGACGTAAGATTGTATCCATTACAGACCAATCAGCAAAGGCTAAGTTTCTGTCGATCTAAGGCTTTATTTGCATTTACATATTTTAACGACATACAGTATTTAGGCATGATCAACATTGATTGACAGATCTATCAACCAGATTTATACGCATGTTAATACATACATCTATTATTTTAGATACATATGAAATTCTTATAAAAATCATCTAATTTTATATATCAGCCGATATTTGAACTGATGGCCTATCACTATATAATGAAACTTTAGCTTATAGAAGATTCACAGTTTAATCACTGAGTCAGGGATGCTATCCCAAAAAATATATATATATTAAAAATACTGTAATATTAGGAAAGCATTTGTGCTACTTTCTTGACTTACTATACCGATTTTGTAGTTATTTTATAATAGGATCGACATTATAAGTCAAGAAAGTATGTTGTATAGGGTTAATAAGGTAATTTTTGCCCCAGTAACACTGACAAAAGTTTTGCAATCACATGATAATAAGCCTGCATTATGCATAACCCCTAATAAGAATGTAATATGATATAACAGGCATAATTAAAGATGGTATAGCAATTGATTTCAAATTTACAAAATGTTGCAACATAAGCTAAAATTAGTTGCAACATATGTTGCAACATTATAAGTTGCAACATATATAGGTTAAAATTAATTGCAACGTAAGTTGCAACATTAAAAGTTGCAACATATTAATTACAGTTCCCATCTTTAGGCATAATAAATAACTGCTTGTTATGTGATCGTGAAATTTTTGTTGCAAAATATTCTGCAGACATATCTGGATATTTGATCGAAAGCCATTTGACCGAAAATTATTTGTCACCCGTATGCATAATATAAATAACAATTTTATAGTAACCGTATCAATTGATGTGTAATGTTTAATGTGATGACAAATAGATTCAGTCAAATGGTAATCTTTTGCAAATATATAATACTGTATACTGTATTTACAAATTATTATATTATAAACCTTTGTAATATTTGCATTTTCATTGAAGTATTTAAAAGTTTATGGTTCTGTAATAATTATTAAATATTATAGTTAAAATTCTTTGTAGATTTTACAGTCCAATAAACCATTAGAATACTTCAACTATAATATGCTAAAGATATTATAATTTAGTAAATATTTGAAGTATTTCAACTGTTAGTATTTTACATTAAAATATTAATACAATGAAGTACTTTGTATATTTATAGATTAATTTCTAAATTTGAAAAAATTAAATTATTAATTATTTGCAAAAAATATAAATAATAAAAAATTGATTTTTCAAACCTTTCAAAGAAATCTTATAGAATAAGTAAATTACTATTAATAATGTGAATTTGAAGTTTAAAAAACTTTTAATATTTGTTTATATTGCTAATAAAATTTCAATAAATTATTTTCAATCTGATATAAATTTCTAAAGTATTATACCTCAATAATCTTTACAATACTATATTATATAATAAACTTTGAAGTATTACCTCAAAATAATCTTCAAAATATTATGCTATAAAATAATGTAAACCTGCGATGAAGTAGTAACAGTAGTAATCTATGAAGTATTATAAGAATATAGATTTTTGTAATAAAACTTACTAAATAATTTTCTGATGTTATATAAATCTTTAATTTGGCTTATTTTTTTTTTATTTTTAATGTTTAATATATTTATATTTAGATTATATTTCTTTTTACAAGTTTTTTACCATATAAGACATTCTAATATTCTTAGAAGCAAAATTTTCATTTATTTATATGATTTATAATATAATTCTAGAATTATCATCAAAAATAATTCAGATTATATAATTAGATACATATGTTTAATGATGCTTATAGATTTAATAAAATAATCTTAATTTAAGATAATAACATATAATATATTATCTAATATTATTTTATTATATGTATTTATCCTAGTGAATAGCAATTGACTATGATCAAGGCTAATTTTTTGGCTATTGTCTAATTTAGTTAATTAGTTAAAAACAATTAGTAAAACAGCCAAAATGGTCAAGTATTACATGATTTTTTATATATAAAATAAAAAATATACAATCTTGATTAATATTTTTCATTTCTTATAAATCAATTACAATATGATAAATTTCATTAATTTTTAATCAACTAATTATGAGAAAATTGCAATTGAATTTTGAAATTCAGATACTTTATTTTAAGTAAAATTTATTGAATTAAAATATTAGCCGATAATCAATTGCAATATCTTATAATTAGCTAAATAGAAATCAATGAAATTTAGCATATTATATTTATCTATTCCTGAAGATTGAACAATAGTTGTTTCATAAGAAAATAAGCAATATGGTATATTTTTATTTTTTTAAATTTTTATATAAAAAATCATATGATATGATATTATTTCTACTATTTTGATATTTTAGATATATTTATATATATCTTATAAAATTTTATTATATTACCATTTGATGCAAAAGCTTATTATAATAATTCTAATAAACTATATTTTATCCTTTTATAATTACTGATTATTAAATTATTGGTATTTAATTTATTTGAATTAGAATTATTAGATAGATATATATAAATATATATTTGGCTAATCAAAATTTGAAAAAAAAATTGTCTATTTTAGTTATTTTGATTATAGTCAATACTGGCCAAATGATCAAATGCTAACCTAATTTATTCTTCTTTCTAAATAAGATATTCTAATCACGTAAATACAGATTATTTTCTTTATATAAAATTCATATATCAGTATAAAAAAAATATATATCAATATAATAAACAAATATAATAAATAAGAAATTATAATAATTAAAATTTAATTATTTAAATGACTTATTTATATTACAAAATTGATTAAATATTTCTTAAATATTCAAAAATTTCAAATTTTATATTAAAGTATATTAAAATCATATTTTAAAATTATATATTTTAAAATTATACTTTAAAAATCAATGTTTTTTTTTAAAATTAAAGTATAATCATGATTCATATCTTAAGAATTCATGAAATATATTATGCTTTGATAATAATATATATTATTATGTAGTTTTTTATAATTATACTTTTACAAAAAAAAATTTAAATTTTTATGAAACTCATTAATGCATTTAAATTTTTTGTAAAGATATTTTACTCTTTAGTAACTTCTATAAATAGTGATACAACCCTTAAAAATTCAACTAAGTTGTTTCTCTTATCACCATATTTACTTTATTAAATAAAATATGTTAATATTCTAAAATGAGTTGCTAAACCTTTTTATTTAATCTTAAATTTAACAATAAACTGATTTATAATTCACTAACAAATAAATTTCAGAAGTTCTTTAATACTATATGTATAATATTATAGTTAAGATAGAAAATAGTACTTCTATCTGTACTGCTATTTATAATGAAATAATATAAGATTAACATAAAATTAAGAATAAAAGTAAGCCAGAAATAGATGATATAATTAAAAGTTATAGAACCCATCTAAAGATAATGCAGCAATTGATTTTAAATTTACAAATTATTACAATATTAGCTAAAATTAGTTGCAATATATGTTACAATGTTATAAGTTACAACGTATATAGGTTAAAACTAATTATAACGTAAGTTATAATATTAAAAGTTGCAACATATTAATTACAGTTTACATCAGCATGGCAGACATTTGTATAATTGGTCAATTTTTATGTAGATCATTTCCTAATTATCAATGAGGTGATTAATTTTGATTAGCTCAAATTTTATTATTAAAT